AAAAAGTTAAAAGTGATAAAAAACAAAATAGTGAGTGGGCGAGCACGTTTTGACACCCACATCTTTGACGATTTCTAAGGTTCTTTGGCTTAGCAGAATGGCTTCAAAATATGTAGGCGTGTAGATTACATTATACAGAACTCACAAAAAAAACTTCAGAAATGTGTTTTGGCGGGGGCCGAACTTGGAGGTGTTCGGCCACCGAACAGGACCCCGAACGCCCGAAASTTCGGGGGCCAGCCCGGGGGCCTCCGAACGTTCGGTCAGGTAATCCTGTATATATATCTATATATTGGGTAACCGACGTTCGGGATGGGCCGAACGCCCGAACCCGAACGCCTGAACGTATGGGACCCCTTGGGGATGCGTTCGGTCGTTCGGGCCGAACGAGGACCCAAAAAAAAAAAAAAAAAAAAAMAWAAACGTCATCAAAAAAATCTGAAAAAAAAAAAATGTTATGGAAAAAAATAAATTAAACAAGCTTTGCCTGAGCATTACATCTAAATTTCATATTAAATTTGAAATAAAAATAAAATACGGAAAACAAATACTAATAATAAAAATAAATAAAAATAAAAATAAAAAGAGAATGAACTTTACTGAGTGCGCGAGCATGTTTTCGACACCGCTATATTTGGCGATTATTCTTTTTTTTTTTGGCATAGCTAAATGCCCTGAAACTTTACAGATGTGTACTTCACATAAAACAAAACCCACTAAAAAATTTTCAAAAAATAATAAAATCTTTTAGATCCCAAACTAAAGTGAAAACAAAAAGTAAAAAGTGAAAAAATATGTGGGCGAGCACGTTTTGACACCGCCATCTTTGGCGATTTTTAATTCTTATTGAGCTTAGCCAAATGAATTGAAAATTTACAGGCATATACCTCACGTCATAAAAAACGCACAAAACAAAAATCAGAGAAAAATAATTATTTCTAAGCCCCAAAATAATTTTTGGCGGGGGACGAACGCCGTCGGGCTCGGACCCCGTACGGGACCCTGAACGCCTGTACGTACGGAGGTCTGCCCGGGGACCTCCGTACGTACGGGCTGGTTACCCTGTATTTATATATATAGTCACAAACAGAACTGCCCGGTAAACCATATATATATATGTATATATTTTGTGACGATATATATATATATATATATATATATTTATTTATTTTTTTTTCGGCATCTTGTCTTAGCACAATTTCGTTTTGTTGAAAATTCACAAATTTCGAAATAGTGCAGTAACTGAAATTTTTTTATTTTTATTTTTTTAAAATTTCGGAAATTCATTGCTTGATAGGTCCGAATTGTTTTTCGGAGCTCTTTTGTGCAGAATATGTTTTCCCATCACAATCAAAATCGCTCGTTCTAATTTTTTTGAATTCGCCATTTTTCTTTTTTTTGGGGGGCAAACTATGGATCACGCATTCATGTGTAGCGGAAAATCTCAAATTTCAATATTTTTATTTCTCGTTATTTCAAGAATCTGAATTTTTATTTTTTTACGGAAATTTTTCCCTTGAAGTTAAAGTTTCGGGATTACCTCCGAATATTGAAATTTTGCTGCGCATACTCCCATTTGAATTAATTCCGAATCTGTTTTTATTTTCGGAATTCTTTGAACTTGTGGATTTTTTTTCGCAGATCAATTATTATTTTTTATTAACGTTAATTATTTGCAGTTTGAATTTTGAATTTTTTTATTACTGTTATTTCGGATTTATGGGGATTGGGAAACCTACCAAACTTGCAATTTCACATAATTTTTAAAATTATTTATAGGTGGGGATCCGGGTGAGGTCCCGGGCAACCTGGTCGGGCAGGGTACCCGGTTGGGGGCCGCCCCCCCCCAACGGAATCACGTGTTTGGGGGTCTTGGACCCCGTTTTTCGGTGCTGTTGGCCTCTCCCAGGCCTGCCGGGTTCGACCGACCCAAAAAACCGTCCCGTCGGGCCCCGTAGGCCTGCGGGATTTTCAAAACATTGTGACGGCTCTGTGGCCGTCGATCCACCATGATCGACACCACAGAGCCGGGGGATCTAGGCGCCAAATATCCCCTCGTTCAAAACTGGGATCGGCTGGGGTGGTCTCCCACTCGCCCCCCAACACGATCGAAGTTCCTCCTGCGTCGTCGCCCGTCGCCTGTCGCCCGTCGCCATCGCCATCGACAGTCTTGCTGCAGCTGCTAGGACAAAGGACCCGACTGTCCTGCTGTTGCAGTTACGACGAAGGCCCTGATTGTCCTGCTGCTGCTGCTACGACGAAGGCCCCGACTGTCCTGCTGTTGCTGCTACAACGAAGGCCCCGTCGACGAAGGTGTCGTTCTCTTTTTCTTTTTCTTCTTCTTCATCTTTTTCTTCTTCTTCTTTTTTTCCTTCTTCTTATTCTCCGTCTTCCTGTCGTGATTGTTTAGGGTTGTGTTGGACGGCCAGACGAAGGCCCTGCTGTTTGGGTAACTGTTGCACGTAACGACTTCTTCTTCTTCTTCTTGATCATTCGTATGTCACGTGAGACACGACAAGCCGTCCACCTACCCCCCTCCCCCTTCTCGACTCTTCTTCTTCTTCTTCTTTTTCTTCTTCTTCTTCTTCTTCTTCTTCTTCTTCTTCTCCTCCTTCTCCTTCTCCTTCTCCTTCTTCTTCATCTTCTAGTTTGTCAACATTCGGTAGGTCACGTGAGACACGACAGGTGAAAAACAAAGAAAAAAAAGAAGGTCGTCCTCCTCTCCCTCCTTCTTCGCTTATCTTCTTCCTCTCCTCCTTCTCTTCTCGCCATCCTCTCGTCTTCTTCTTACCCTCCGCCCCCTCGCGTTTTCAGCTTTCTCCGCGACCTTTCTTGATCTTCTTCTTCTTCCCCTCCTCACCTCTCTTCTTCTTCGTCTTCTGCTCCATTTGGTAGGTCTTCTTCTCTCCTCTTCTTCTTCTTCTTGTCCTTCCGTACTCCGTCCCTGCCTTTCTTCATACCCTACCGCCGTTGCCATAACCCACCGCCATACCCCTCCGCCGCCTTATTGTACCGCCACCATACCCTAAGGCCAGACCCTGCCGCCGCCATACCCTGCTGCCGCCATACCCTACCGCCGCCATACACTTCCGCCACACCCCGCCGCCGGCATACCCTACCGCCGCCATACCCTACCGCCACACCCCACCGCCGTACCCTACCGCAGCCATATTTCTTCCCTATCTTCTTCTTCTTCTTCTTCTTCTCGTTTTATTTCTCCTCCTCCTCTTCTTCTTCTTCTCATTCTCCTTCTTCTTCTTCTTCTTCTAGTTCGTCGACATTCGGTAGGTCACATGATACACGATAGGTTAAAAAAAAAAAAATCGGAGGTCGTCCTCCTCCCCCTCCTCCTCTCATCTTCTTCATCTTCTCCTTCTTCTCTCCTCGGTGTCCTCTCATCTTCTTCTTCTTCCCCTCCTCACCCTCTTCTTCTTCTTCTTCTTCTTTTTCTTCTTCTTCTTCTTCTTATTATTATTATTATTATTATTATTCTTTCAATTGTTAGCTTTTCTCCTCTCCTCTTATTCTTCTTCCCCTCCTTCCCTACTCCCTCCCTGCCTTTTTCCATCCTCCCTCCCATCCATCCATCCCTCCCTCCATCCCATTTCGCCATCCTCCATCCTCCATCCTCCATCCATCCATCCATCCGTCCCTCCCTCCATCCCATCTCGCCATTCTCCATCATCCCATGTCGCCATCCCTCCCTCCCTCCCATCTCGCCATCCCTCCCTCTCTCCCTCCCTCCCTCTCTCCCTCCCTCAATCCATCCATCCATCTTCTTCTTCTTCTTGGACGTTGTTAAGCAGTATCCCTCCCTCCCATCTCGCCATACCTCCCCCCCTCCATCCATCCACCCATCCATCTGCTTCTTCTTCTTGGACCTTGTTAAGCAGTCTCCCTTCATCCCTCCATCCCCCCATCTCGCCATCCTTCCCCGCCTCCATCCATCCATCCATCTTCTTCTTCTTCTTGGACGTTGTTAAGCAGTTTCCCTCCCTCCCATCTTGTCGTACTCCCCCCCTCCATCCATTCATTCATCTCCTTCTTCTTGGACCTTGTTAATCAGTCTCCCTCCATCCCCCCATCTTGCCATCCCTCCCCCCCTCCATCCCTCCATTCTCACATCTCGCCATACTCCCCCCCTCCCTCCCTCCCTCCATCCATCCATCCATCCATCCATCTCCTTCTTCTTCTTGGACCTTGTTAAGAAGTTTCCCTCCATCCCTCCATCCGCGCATCTCGCCATTCCTCCCCCGCGTCCATCCCTCCAT